CGCAAATGAAATCTTGAGCGACTCTGTGACATCTATATACAGATCCTACATGTGTCTATATGATGTGACTATATGAAAACCACTGAAGAAATGTCAGTAAATTGATCATGATTAGGCTGAATGGCCTATCTTGCAGCATCAATGAGTCACACAGTGATGACCAGGCAAACATCATATAATGGGAGCTGAGTTCCATTCTCTAATACCACCCCTTTCAGGGTTTTTTTAGTTTGACATTTAGTGATGTGGTGAATTTCATCTTTGAGTGTGCCCTTCAGTATTAGGCAGTGCTGACCAGTACTTGTCAGGTTGGTGGGAGAGTGTGATGTTCGTGTTATGCCCACATCAGGGGTCTTTCCTTTTTCGGCTTCTTGCAGTCATGTGCATCACATGCCTGCTCACATCCTTCGCCATTGTCATTGTCTTAGGGGTGCAGATGCTCCAGGGATCCCTAGGTTCCCTGGTTGTGGCCATTTACCCAGAACTTGGTGAGGCAGTACCCCTGGTTGATCCAGCATTCCACTGCCCTCTCTGATGGTCTGGTTGCTCGTTTCTTGGTCCATTGATTCACTGTTGTTGCTTATATGTTGTACTATAGCTCTGGTGTCTGGCTCCTTGCTGTGCATTGATTGTGCAGCCAGTATAGCCTTCATATCCTTGCCTACCCCTTGTGTATGACACCAAGTGACTCCTTCTCATTTATTTATTTGACTGATTGTATTGTTGATTACTGCAGATACATGTTGTGACTGGTACAGTACTCATACTTAGAGGTATATAGACCCATGTACCATAACCTGTATCCTCAGTTTTTTGATAGCTTGCAACTCAGCTAACTTCCTTCTCCTTTGTCCTTGTTCTCTCCTCCATGTAGTTCCTAAGAACTTGCCAGAAGGATTGAACCTCAGTCAGACCTTGGGGATAACTGAGCCATAGGGGTTATGACACGTTCAGCCTGTAGACTCCCCCTTGTGTGCATCATGCCTATTCCATTTGAAGAAGTCACCATGCTCAGGCATAACAAAATTGAAAAACTCTGTGCAGCTTTTGGGACTTGTCAACCTCTTCATGAAAGTCTACTTGTCCCTGGTTACTGAACTTCAACAAACCATCTCCATCTCTCACAAGGCTCATTGTTCTCCCTACAAGTAAAGACTGACTTGCCTTTGTTCTGCTCCTCGAGTAACAAGATCGAGAAGCACCCTTCTACCCTAAATCAAATCCATTGCTCTACAGGCAGCCACTAGGCTTTAATAGATCGCCTCCCTAGAGTCTGTGCTCACGTCTCCCTACACATAAAGTCGCTTGCATACCCAACCACCCATATGCTGACAGGTTTCTTTCAAGAAATAAATCCTCCCTCAGCCTTTGTTGTCACTGTCCATAAAAGTGTCTAACCTGCAGAAATCAAGACCCCCAGTCCCTCCTAGACCTAACCCCCTTGGACTCAGGCAGAATCCTCCTTTACTGCCTGTCCCCTTAGGATGACTTGGTCCCTTGGTTACTGCAACAAATCCCCAGTTATCTTATCTATCCCAGTTCAGGGATTTGGAAGTTGCACTTAGTTCAGAAGAAGAAGATGATCAGAAGTCTGAGACTTCTTTAGGATCACCCCTCAAGGAAGAACAGGAAGCATGCAATCAAGAAGAAACATCCATGATGATCAGTCACAGAGATTTGGTTCCTGAAATGCCCCCAAGGACCATTTTGGAAGAGGAACTGAGACAGAGGCTGGAAGAACAAAGAGTCGCAATGGCAGAGGAGCTCTGCTGGGCTATGCATGCAACTACAAGTGACCTGTTCCCAGCAGGAACACCTACTGACTTGGCTTTATGGGATTGGTATCATAGAAACTTCAGAAAGGCCATACCCCCAGAGCCATCCACTGGTAATGGCAGTAAGGAAAAAGCCAGAGCTGATGACGACAACTACCTAGGAGTAAGCCACCCACCCAATGGAGGTCAGGAGTTTAATGTTGGGTGTCCCAGAGAATACGATGGAAGCTGCAATGGGCTTCAGACCTGGGTTATGCAGGTCGAAGGATATTTGAACCTGAACAAACACATATTCAACACCTTCATAAGCTGCATTGATATGCCTCCAGACATGAAAATGACCAAATGAGGTGCATCCCTTAGAATGGTCAATTTACCTACAACTATAACAATGAAGGCAGCACACTCCCCATCATTATATTACATGCTGCCTGGGCTGCGTGCTTCCCTCCAGTACCATTACTAGAGATTAGTCAATCACACCATTGCCTAGATATGCTTAATTGTGCTGGAGATACAAAAAGAATGCCTAATATGGAGATCACTGGGCAGTCACTGGCCAATTGTTGGTCTGCTCTCTGCCCAATGTCTTCTGAGCATCTTGGAACTGATATTTAGTTATTTACTTTGGTAACACCTTTTGATGATGCAGATAATCTTATGTTTTGACAATCTCAGAATGGATTGCATAATATTGAATTATGCATCCCCTATGAAGTGATTCCCAAATTTCAACTTTTACTGTTGTTACCAGCTTTTTAGGAAGATATTATTGTCAATAACCTTGTGACATTCTTGCAATATATAGTTTTCAATTGTCTTCAGATATGCATCTCAATGTTTTTCATGATGTAGACTTTGGATAAATTTTATATGTTTGCCCAAAATCAATATTTACAAGAGTCTCATAATTTGATTCATAAGAAAATGTGCTGTATTTGCTTTGGAATACTCTTTAGAGTGTGTGATAACATTGAAACCACCAGTGTGTGAAAGTGCCTTGCTGTGCATGAGCTGCCAAGCCTCCTGGTGAGTGAATCAACAGGTAGGGTGTTGGACCCCTTCTCCAAATCAGACTATTAGGTGTGGAGTGGTGTATTGCTGAACTGGTTCTTCAGTGCCCTCTGCTGTTGTCCTTCCATTTTGGTCATGGATCTCTGTGTTCCAGCAGGGCCACTCATGCATTAATGTCATCACACTGCAAGTGTCTGCAGGTGTGTTGAGAGATCCATATCACCTTGTTTACAAGGTCACTGCACCTTGAAATTCATCACTCATTTTTTGACATCTGCAAACATTCCTCTTTACAAAGTCCAATTCAAATCATGCAGGCAAAGATTTGTTGGCATGCATTTATGTACTTGCATTTATGTACAATTGTAATGAGCTCAAATGAAAAGGTGGTTAACTCATGGACAAAGATCAATTGATGGTGGCAGTCAATTGAAGGCATGTATCTTTGTACTCTAGTTTGGCCCAAGTGCAATCTATGTCACTTTGGCTCTTTCCCAGTCTAATGTCATCTTATGATCAAGAGCTGCAAGCCTTTGGTCCTCTTGTCACAGATATTTGCTCAGATGTTGAGTTGTCAATGTCAGTCCTTACAACATGTCCACCATTTGCAGTACTCTCACATATGTCAATGGCACTCGTTACATCAATGTCATTGTCTCCAAGACATCAACTGCTATCTCCCTGCTGTTTCAATTCCACAGCACAGCAGTGATGAATTTCATCAGCACCAACACCATCTTTTGCAAATATCCCAACCTAACATTCCATCACTGTGTGCTGATCAACCCACATCCTGTTTATTATGGCTCAATCAGCTTCAAAACCATGGCAGCCCTGCAGAAATACAGCACATGTGGTTTTGAGTTTGGCAGCTGCAAAGAGTATCATCATTTGCCTTACAGTTGCAGGTGTATGCCCTGCAATTTGACTGATGGCAGCTGTCTATGGCTTCAATCCAAATGTTCATCCTCTCTCCACAAGTATTCACTTCGGTGCTGTGTGAAAAGTTGCACATCAAAGTCTCTTAGCAGGCAGATTGTCTGATGTCCTTGGCTATGAGACAATGCCACATATGCATTGAATGGGGTTATTTGTCCTGTGAGAGGCATGCCGATGTCCACAATGCAGTGTTTGAGAGTTTGTGCTTGGGTACAATAATCTGTGAAAGCATATGCAGGCATTATAGGCAACTGTACTTGCAAGATCATGGATATTTTCCCCCTAGCTGTCATGATGGTGAACATTCTACAGATAGGTGTCACCAGCAGCACTCCACTGCCTAGCCCTGGCAGTGTTCTGGCTTTGGTATGTTTCATTTCCACAAGCACATATAGTGGTGGATATTGCAGCTGAATGACCTTGTCAGCTGTCCCCTTGACACTCTCCCTCAAGTCAAGGACAATGTCAACCACCTGACCTCATGCACCATTTGCCATGTCAAGATCTGTTGTGATGTTGAAAGTCACCATCACCTCCATGCCAATCATCAGCTCCACTTCATCCAACAACCCACCACATTCTAGTCAATTCTGACTGCAGCAACCTTTTGGGTTTGCAGCCACTGCAAATTTTTCTGGTAACATGAGAGCCTGTCCCCATATAGTGTTGGAAGCATGACAAATGATTGGAGATAAACTCCCCATTGCTGCATGTTCCTTCGCAGTCTTCGAATTCCAATGCATATGGACAGCATGGTGTGATTTCACCAAGACTGCATCTTTCCAAGGCAATGAACTGAAGTCAGTCAGAGGACATGTAGGATTTGGCATAGCCATCAAGCCAGTCAACTACCACCACCTGTTATGTGGTGCTATCATTCAGGTCCACTTTGCTATTTTACACTTCTTTATCAAAGATGATAGGAAGTCAGTGTTTACTGCTGCTGCTCATGAGATCCATGTGCTGCATGCTCCACTCCAAGTACCTGTTAACCCCCTCAAATGCATGCATCTGAGCAATGAGAGCTCTGCTACTGGTAACAAGAAGTCCTGTATGGTGAGACATCCCCACAACTGCAATGACAATTTCTCATGTTTCTCAGGGATGTCTCCCAGTTGTAATCACCCTGGTGGTCTTTGAAGTTGCTCTGGAGTTCCAATGGGTGACATGGGCTTAAGTACATCATGTAAATTAATGTTATCTGTGAGATCTGTGACTGTCACTGAAAGTGGCATTGGCGTAACACTTCTGCATTTCATGGTCATCGATGCATGCATATCATTACAATGAGAATGTCAGGGTTTCAGATGTGTGCTTGCACTGATAGTAAGTATCATCACTGTCACTTGTGTGCTCTGCAAGGTGATTTCTGCCACCATGGGCCATGACAGTCTGCTGAGTTTGTCAGGTTCTCACTGGCACTGTGTGTGTTGTGGAGAAATGAGGCCCAATAACCTTGAAGCTATATGTCTTATTCTTGGGGATGCCATGCATGTTCCATTGGGGGTGATCTGTCATCTCTTTCAGCACTCCAGGCATGACCAGTTCTTGAGGGGGGTGAGTTGGTGTCCTATTTTTGGGTTCACCTGGTCCCAGATTTTCGACACACCATTGACTATATCCCTGTCTGTCATTGAGCAGCTGGTATGTCCCACCATCTCCAGAGCTTGTTGCATTTGATTCATTGGATTCATCACCTAGAAAAATGTCATGTCCTCATTAACACCTGCTGTTGACAACAGCACTCACTATGAAGTATGGGGCTTTTTGTTTGGCCCAAGATCTGGCCCTTGATGTTTGAATGTGCAGGTCTCTGACAGCGATGACATCCAGATCTCCAGTACACAATACCTCTTTGCCCCTGATGTCAAAATCTCGATGACATGTGTTGAGGTTGGGATGAGGCTTTATGTTGTGTTCTTTGATCTAGGATGTCATGAGACAGAGTGCAACCCACTCATTTGACACTGGTGAACATTCACACAGAAGATGACCTACAGGACATTATCCATGTCTTATTGGTGTAAGTATTTTCTCCCTGACCATTTCACCTGCTTGCTAGAGTCTCTGCTCAGATTGGCTACATGCTTCCCAGTGGTTGGAACTTCCACAAGTCATACCAGTGCTTAAAATACTTGAATCTCTCCTATTTTAGGGAGAGCATGTGTTGTGGGGTGTATTTCATTCGACTATGTCCTGGCTCCTATCCATTTGTAATATGACATGCTCCACATCCCCTTTCTGTGGTGCTTAGAGCACTTGCTGCAAAACCTCTGCTGCCCCTCATCACCCAATGTACATGTGCTACAACTCCTCACTGCCCCTTATGCCCATCACACAGTGTGAAAAGAGGGCCAAAGCACCCCTTGTGCCTGTTGCTGTCTGCACTATATATTGTATGATTGTAGGTCAGTGTTTGATGTCCCTCAGATGCCTTCTATGTATTCTTTGCCTCTTGAACTTAAATGTCATATCCTTGGCTATTGCAACATTCAGGATATTGCTGCCTTAGCACAGGCCAGTGCTCTGCTCAATGCTATTGTGCATGATTACATTGAACACTGCCTGCATGTCATGATGGCCACATTCTTCAGCTTGACCAAGATGCTGAAAAGCATCTTGCAGGCATGTGATGCAGTCATTTCAGGTTCATGTGCTCTGCACATCCTGCTACCAGCAAACAAGACTTTGTGGTCTCCCTTGGATCTCAATATATGTGTCCTGCCATTACTTGGCCAGAATCTCTGTCCTATTGGAATGTGAAGGTAAGTGCAGTATCCTGTTGACCCAGGCAGCTGCTCACTGGCATGCATGACTCAGGGTACAAAATTGTGCAGCAACAATCAATAAATGGAGGACCATACGATTTGTCTTCAATTCAAGCTGTGGTTTCATTTTCCAACATGTGTCAGTGCATCAATGTCATCATCTCCACAATGGCAGCAGCTGTTTCTCCCACTTTTGAATTTCACAGCACTGCAGTCATGAACTTCATCACAGCTGACAGTGTGTTCTGTGCCTATCCCACATTCACCCTCTGTCTCATGTCTATGGTAAATCTGGGTCCTGTATATTTCAGTCCTTGGGGTGTCAAGATGATGCAGGCCCTCATAAAATATGGCACTCATGGTTTTTGGTTGGTGCCATGCAATGACATCCATCGACTATCTGCTGTTTGCAGATCAATGCCTTGCTCGATCGCAGACCATGATTGCCTTTGGGTCAACACAAACATGATGTCCTGTGTAACAATGTCACCTAGTGACATTTTCTACTTGTTGGGGTTCATCAACCTCATTTGGCTTCTGGGTGGTTACATATGTGGCACTACATATCCCTTTATCTGTGCACAGTGTTTTCTGATTGAGGATGATTTGTAAGTGTCTTCTGTTGTCAGGTATTTCCCTCGATTCTGATTGATGATAGCCATGATCTCTTGGGACCTCACTTCCTCGGAAGTGTGGAGTTTTAGGTGGCTTGATGGGTTTCGTGGTCAGGTTTCTCTAAGTTTTGGTAGTTTCACAAGGTTATGTATCTCTACTTTGTATTATGTGGTCGAATGGCACTAGCATGTGTAGTGCATTGGACATGGGCTACGCTCCGGGGTGGGAAACAAGGGGCCTGCCAGCAGTACCAGCCATGTTCTAGTGTTAGACTGGTACAAATATTGATTGCTAGCCGTAAATTATGGGAATCGATGATGTGTCCGTAAACAAGGTGCCTGCCGTCCCCAACGGCCCTATCCTCTAGTGGATACTGAGCAGAATAGGAAAGTTCATTGGCACAGTACATCAATGTTATACTATTCGCCAGCTCATTTCTCCAGAAGCGATCACAACTATCATAACGACTGGAGACTCTTCATTTGAACCCGACTCGACATCACTGGACCATGCATCTAGTCCCTCAAGTAGCTAGAAATGCGAATTGTGTATAGGTAACACATTAGACGAGGAACTCAAGCAAGCTGCCGACGAGGAGAGGTCAGGCTAAAATTGTGCATCGAAGAGATGTCCTCACACTCATCACACCTAGCAATCCATTCCAACAGATTATGGACGTGCACGCATCATTATTTTTTCCACCCCCCCCCGGGTCCAGAGACGGACCCGAACCACCATACGTATCCGTTAAATTCCACAAGGCACTTTCGTAGTCTTTGGGAGCAGGTCCCATTGGTGTGCCTAGGGAACTCTCGTGGAGGGAGTAGCACGTGAGGGATTGGATGTTGGCCACTTCAGCCACTTCTTAACTCCTGTCGATGATCTTGAAGCTGATGAGGGATGAGTGTTAGGATAGGTATTTGGCAGGATAGGTGCCCCCCCGCCGAAGCCGTAACGCCCTTGGAGATTAGCAAAGGCGGCAGAATAGTCTTTTCGCGTGGCACTGGCGTTGGCGGAGGATGGTTTAGATGCACGCGGGAGGAGGGAAGCGGTGGATGTAGATGGGCTGTTCATGGTAGTGCTACGTTCGAGATGAGCGTCGGGAACGGAAAGATGTATACAGGTGTGTGAAGGAGCCGGGATGGTAATAGATGCGTACTGTAATGCAGAGTGTTTCTTCCTTGGAACGCAGCATCGGATGACTTTTTATATAGTCACTGGTATTGTTGTGACACAGTTGACCAGGCGCCTAAACGAGAAAGGGGATGCTACGAGGTCCAATCGCCGCAGTAAAGTCACCAGTTTAATCACCGAATCACTACCAATGCAGTCGTGGAAATGCCCGCCCCGGGATCTGGGGCAGACTCACTGTGACTCGGAGATGAGTCATTAAGCGTGAGTAGCATTACGGTGACCTCAATCGACGCCGAATGCCAATTGGCTTACACGGGCTACCAAAACGGATTGGCTGTGTGCTGCCAATTCGGACCCTGGACGAGTCACTAAGGATAATATTGTACAAAGCCCTCCGGGCGCTCCTGGACGCATTTGGGGAAAGCACGTGATGTAGTTCTTTACATTTACAAGCGACTCTACAGGGTGATTCTATCGAGTGAGTGCGAGTCCAAGTTAATGGGATTCTATCGAGGGAGTGCAAGTCCAAATTTACGGTCTATCGGGTGAGTGCGTGTCCAAGTGTACGTAAGAGATTAGTACTGTGGGGGGGACGATATCGAACAGAAAAGTCTACGGGGCATGCGTTTATGTTCTCTATGTGGGATGGTAGATTATATAACTGTCATTTATGAGAGGATGTTTTCATGCTTAGAGGACGACGCACGAGCAATCTTCGATGATGTGCAGGAAGGAGGCATCTCCCTCTCCGAGCGGTTTTAAGCTGTTGAAACACGTACAACGACGGACAAGCAGCCGAACACTCGTGAATGCGGAAGGCATTGACACACCCCTGACGGCGCAGACGACGAAGCAGAACCACTCTGTAAAATGCCGCAATGGATTTAATATCCTTCAACGTCAGGAAGGGGTACTGTTCCACAAACTCGCGCACCGAGTCTGCGCGACATACCAACAATGATCCTCTAGGGTACACAGACACAGACTCGGCAGTAAATTCCTGTAGCTGATAGCAGCAACAACGCTGGCACCAGCCGTGTCAATACACAAGCGGCACACACCACTGTCCATGGTCGTCTGCACGACGTTATCTGACATGACGTGTACAACAAAATGCAGGAACCCCAACGCAACCAGTCCCCCCCCCCCCGAAAGGAAATCACACGTGATCGGACTTAATGGTCCGGTATGATCGTTGAGGACAAAGAGTTTGCAGACCTGGCCTGACGGCGTCCAGGAACATTTTGGTGGCAGTGACTTTTGGAGCTGGGTCACAGTCATCGCGTCGAGTCTCATGCAGGAAAGCGACCCTGTAAATAACTGTTGCAGTGTCGGAACCATGCCATCGCACCTCACCAGCAAACGAAATTCAATCAAAAGTCGCTGGATTCCATAGGCGTCCACCGGGAATAAATGCTATGCGAAAGCCTGATGGGGATGACAACGATGTCGTCCTTCGTCATGTCAGGTGAACACGTACCAGTGCTCATCTCATGAAATGAACGCGCGCCATACCACTTTTCCGCGGAAGATCATTACCATGATTGGAATGCTCGAAGAAGCAGGCGGATGCTGGTTATATTTAGAGATGACACATATTGGAATTGTCAGCTTTAAGGCCAACAGGCACGAAGGAATTAGAGGGCACACCCTTACGATGGCCAACCGGGGGTGCTTGTGTGTGTATCTTCTAGTCCGAACAGGACTATTCTCCTTTCGTAGCACTCCGTACAAGTTCCGGTACGCCAACCTGTACACGGCAGATCGCCTTGAACCATGAATAGACGTGGCACCCAGGTTGGGCGCTGGGATGACAGTGTATGTGAAAAGTGTGTCTCGGGAGGAACAGTCTTCAGCAGTACATGTCAGGGTATTTGTGTTCCAGGTCTGCTCGGCGCCACGGTCGGTAGCTGCTACGTACAATCGGAAAGCTAGATCCTCGGTAAAGCGGTCTATGAACCGATACACTACTTCATGTTTGAGACGTCTGTGGAAACGTGGCAACGGTGGTCGGCTCCGAGATGCACGAATCGATAAATCCTCTAAGCAAAAAGTATAGGTTACTGGCAAAACTTGCAGTAACAGTCAGTGCAACGTACCAAGTCATCACTAGTCCCTGTCGAGAGCAAGCTGCCCGAGAACTCCCTGCCAGCGTCCGGAGGCAAAAATGACGTTATACTAACCTTCCTGCCAAAGTGCAATACGGCAAGTCAGTTTTGTAATAGCATCGAAGGAGCTCTTGAGTCATGTGCAGGAAATTGTTGTAATTATAATAAACGTTGGTCGGCACTCAGAACACATCAGAGAGACAGGGAATGACGGAATCGCGGTCACGACCAGTCAGTGACGGGTTTAAACAGGTTTAAACCATTTTTTTCGCTTCCTGATGCAAAACGCTAGGAGTGACAGGCTGAGACAGCGCGACACCTGTGGTGCGACAGAAACGACACCAACGGTGAGTACACTCATCTAGCATGCATAATTACAATTTTGTTGCGAACACCGACTCTGCAGTGACTCAGTGAGGGGTCTTAGTGTCACCGCGAGCAGCCATGAAGCTCGAAGTTTGAAGTTCACATACGAGGAACCCAGGACGCTTGGCAAGCACTCAACCGGTCGACGGTGGCCCATTCGTGGACGAAAAACTTCAAAAACTCAGTGGCCTTCTTGACGCACGTGCGCGTCCTTGGTGAGTTCTTTAGAAAACTGGGTATACACACACTTATCGGGTTGGTGCCAGTTGGTGCCAGTACTGACAGCCTTCACACAGGCTGTCTGACATGTGCCTCCCACTCGCCGAGATGGCTAATCTTTGCTCAGCGTCGAGCGCAGCGGGCCTCACACGTACTATGGCGTGATGCTGCTGATCCGCGACATACTATGAAATGGCTCGATGATCTTAAATATCAAGTACTGCAGCTCTTCTGATTTTCCACACGATTCCACGTCAGGAATCTGCCAATCATTCAACAAAATGCCTCTTAAATTTATCCTATCAACATCACGCCAACTGTCATCGCGGCAGTATTATGGGTAGCCATGGTAGTCAGAGAGCCAGGACAGTGACGGCCTAGCAACTATACGTTGTTGTCACGGTACGTGTATGGTTTTCTCCCTTCCATCACAGTCTGCTTTTCTCTTTCCTTCCTCTTCGCTTGATACACAATACACGTCGAACATTCGCTTTCCCCGCGGTAAGAAGACTCGCCTAAAATTCTCCCTTGGGCACACTCCGTCACTCTATCTATACCAGCCTGTCGTTGACACTGGTGCATTCTTTTATCATTCCACTCGTTTATCTCAATTACACACTTCTACACGTCATTTGGCACAGTATATCTTGCAAACTAGCGGCAGGAGTGAAGGCAGAATCGCAAACCTGGACGCAGCTTCTAATCGTTCCTGACAATTCAGCAACACAGGATCAACTTGAAATCTGAAGATGCTGATGCAACACAAGTCGATATCTCATCGTCGCATTCTGTCGCTTAATCCTCGCGAACCCTCCCCTGATAGTCTCACCGGGGTCGTTGGCTCGCTCTTGGGCTCTCTTCTTGGCGGATCCTCTGGCAGTAGCAGTAGTAGCGGTAACAGTGGGGGAAGCTCTAGTAGTGCATTGGCTACTCCGACCGCAACGGCCAGCAGCGGGAGCTCGGGCGGGAGCAGCAGTGGTGGGGGCAGTAGTGGCGGTTCTGAGAATGGCAACGGTTCAAATGGCGGCAACGGCAACGGCAACGGCAACGGCAGCGGTGGAAAGGGGAAATCCGGCAGCAGTGTTGGCAGTGGAGGAAGTTCGAGCGGGTCATCGAGTGCCATAGAGAGTGGAACATCGGCGATGCCACCAGCCAATGCTGGGGAAGGCCCTGCCCCCCCCAATCCTAGCGTATTGAACGGCGATTCAGTCCCAAGCAGCTCGCTGTCCGGTTCTGCAGCCTCTGCGATGGTTACTCTACCGGCGAGCCATGAGGGTAGCGCCCCGGGCAATAGTAGTTCCACCCAGTTCACTTCTGGTGGACCTCCCCCATCGAATGTGGGAGAACCGCCATCAGTTGGCTCCAGTTTGCCCAGTTCTGACAGTTCCTATGGTTCGTCTAGCTCTGGGACAGGCGCCACTGGTATCGGTGGCTTAGAGTCGACTGCCACTCCAACCTTTGGTACTGGCGCGGGGAGAACGCAAAACGCATTGTCCTCTGGTGCCGTCGCTGGCATAGTTATCGCATCTTTGTTTTTTCTGCTTATGCTCGCTCTGGTACTTGTCCGTCGTCGTGCCGTAGCTCATCGCGCTCAACGTTTCAAATGGTGGCTCGCCAACAATGCCAACTCTCACAGCTTCTCGTTCGTTGGTGTTAGCAGTCATTCGTCTGATGATTCTACAGGACGGAGTGCTGGTAACAGGGCTAGTGCTCGAAGTTCCTTTGCCACTAACTTTGACCACGGATTGCTCTATCGGCTTGCGTCCCCTACCACCCAGCTGGACATACCCGAGCTTCCGCCCATGGCTGAGGTTCGGGACCGTAACCGCGTCCTAATATCTACGGGCGGCGAAGCCGCTCGGAGGGAGTCCTTTGCTAGCATGACGAGCAATGGCAGTAACGGTAGTGGACAGTATCTCATCACCGCAACAGACCACAGTGGTGATGCCGGAGCTCTCTCCCCCATGTCCGTCCGTCCGTTCACACCTTCTGAGACCTTCTCCTTCCCGAAGCCTCCACTACCGTCGTCGTCCACCGCAATATCGGCTCGTCAGGGGGTTGGCTCACCTAGCGCGTCAACAGCAACGCTCGTCCAGCTCAGCCTGCCACCCCTAGTATTCCACCGTGAGCTGGCGTCGCCTCCTTCTCCAATTAGCAACACTGCAGCCGGCCTTCCATCCGTGCCTGTGATTGTCGTGAATCCATTCGAGGACCCAGTGCCAGCCTTCTCTGACACAGAAACAATACGCCGTCCGTTCACGCCAAATATGGAGGATGAACTCCTTGTATCACTCGGAGATGTCGTACGGATCTTCCAGGTCTTCGATGATGGATGGGCCTTGGTGGAGAGGATCAGCGTCAATGCCGTCGTGGCTGGAAACCCTCACAGCCAGCAGCGACGAGGCTTGATCCCAGTGGACTGTTTCAGAGAGACGGGACAGGAATTACCCCACTTCCTTGCACAAAAGAGGTTGAGCGATTATGCGACTCCACACGGGATACAGGCTGCTTTTTAAGATTTGTTTTGTGCGAGACCGCGTGTGTGAATGCTACATAGAGTTCGTGGGTGCCATTTCCACTTTCTTTCGTATGAGTGCTAACATTGGAGTTGCAAAGTTTACTGCACACGTTGCTCATTTTGCTCGTGGATGTGGAGAAGTCTGCACGTCTGTCATATACCCACCTTTTCCTTGTTGTCGCCCGTTCTTTTCTGTTACTCTTTGCTTAGAGGAAGAACTACTGTTCTCTATCATCTGTTTGTAATCAGTACCATCATGGTCATGGTCCATGTTTCTGTTGTCCTAACTCCGACGGGCCCGTTCAATTTCCCTCAGAGTCTTTTCCTATGTTCCTACGTTTTATTCTTTGCTGGTGCCGCTATTATAACGATCCAGTACTTGGGTTGATGCCGTTAGCTACTCGTGTATTAGTCAGCATGAAATTTGCGATCGATGATTGGCCGAAGCGGAAACCGACCCGACCCGACCCCCCAGGCCTTTGAGCTTGACACAGTAAACACCTGCTTGTGGCACATCTCACTCCCTCACACACACGATCGGTATTATGCAAGGCATTCTATCAACAAAGTACTCAATGGCCACCGTTGCGTGGACGCACGCACTACGCTTGTCTTCACGGTCGTTCGCGTCGAGCGCTGCCAGGTGGCAGGCAGTGCCTGCGGAGAAACCGGTGTTGCAGAAAGAGTTCAAGATTTACCGTTGGGTGAGTGATGCGTCGCGTATTCAGGCGACTTGAAACTCAGAGCGTTGTACATACAGAACCCGGATGAACCAGACAAGAAACCGATGTTACAGTCTTACACCATTGATCTCAATCAAACAGGGCCAATGGTAGGCCGCCATCCTCTCCTGGTCTGCCCCGTCGTGACTCGCTCAACCGTCGCAATAGGTTTTGGATGCACTCATTAAAGTAAAAAACGAGATCGACCCCACACTCACTTTCCGCCGTTCCTGCCGAGAAGGCATTTGTGGATCTTGTGCAATGAACATCAACGGGCAGAACACCCTCGCTTGCTTATGCCGGATCGACAGAGATGCCAGCAAGGATGTCAAGATTTACCCGCTCCCTCATAGTACGTTGCCCTTGCCACTGTTCTCTACGACCGTTCTAACGCCCAGTTTCCTACCTCCGCTCTGTCCTTCCGCTCATTTGTTAATTCCACCTTCCAAACATTCAGTGTACATCGTCAAAGATCTCGTTCCTGACCTCACTCTCTTTTACAAACAATACAAATCCATCAAACCATACCTCCAAAACGACAATCCTCCTGCTCAGGGAGAGTTTTTGCAAAGTCCCGAAGAACGCAAGAAACTTGACGGCCTTTACGAATGTATCTTGTGCGCTTGCTGCTCTACGTCTTGCCCGTCGTATTGGTGGAACCAAGATGAGTACCTTGGCCCTGCGACGCTGATGCAAGCGTATAGATGGATTGCGGATTCAAGGGTTTGTTTCGCCGCTGTAGACTCCGTCGAAAGAAGTGCTCATCCATCGATTTGGTCTATTTTCTGTTTGCAGGACTCGTATGGCGTCGAGCGCAAAGAAGTCCTACAGAACGAAATGAGCCTTTATCGCTGCCATACCATCTTCAACTGTACGTCCTCTTTACTAATTATATCCATGGCAGTTCACACGAATCGATCAATAGGTGCGCGTACTTGCCCAAAGGGCCTCAACCCCGCCGAGGCCATTGCGAAGATCAAGCTCGAGCTCGCAGCGGAGTAGCAACAATTATGATGTCGCGTTTATCGTGCCCTGTTCTGGTGTCTTACATTCACACGGGTATCACGTTTAGGTAAAGCTGTATCAATGTGGATACGTTCTAGTACATAGTGGAGAAAGTGGAATGTTTATTTTCTCATTCAAAACGGCTACACTACACGATAGATTTGAGGAGTACTGACCATTCGCATCAATGCACCAGTCCTACTGGCGGAGCTCGTATGGTATCCACCGAGGCGCGATTCGCAGCGAGTGGGTGCCCGGCTAACCTCCCCCTGTAATAGTGCTGGAAACTGGATGTGTCCCAGCACCTGAAACTATTAGTCAAATAATGAGACCAACTGGTCTCGAGTACCCGGGACTTGATATCTTGACGTAAAAATAGTGCGCTCACATCCTCACTCCCCAGCCTCTTCTCCCTTGTGCTCCTTTGCTGGTCTCCCCAGTTCCTCTGAAGAGGTACTCGACGGTGACGCAACGACGCTCGGTGTGATATAGCACCCCAATGACTTACTCCAAGTATACTCATGTGATAGTACCTTGGTCAACGTGTGGAATGCCGCCACGGATGCAAACGGGACGTTAGTGCGGGGGTCGAGGTAGCGCGCAGGGAGGCCCGTAATGGGACACGTTCGCACTGGTCGAGCTGTATAAAGCAAATGAATCAGTGATTATCGTGCACGTCCGTCCCATCGATGAGTAAAACACGACGACAAAAATGGCGATGCGGAGAGTAGGAAAAGACGTACAGAGTGGACGGTTTTTGCCAGTGTACACGCGTAGATCCCCCCATGGAACGTGATCTCCAAACATGGCGGACATGGTATCTACCCAGAGGGGTTTCTTTGCCGACGGTGTTTGCGCGAGTTCGTGCATGACGTAGTTCCTGCACACGTCTGTCATGCGGTCCTCGGACAGCAGTTGTGGCGGTGCACTCGAGGCGGAGCATTGGAGGGATGACAGCAGTAAAGTTGTCGATGGTGTAGGTGCCGATAAAATGGCTACATTAGTTCCTGGTGGTTGTGGTGCAGATGACGAATTCGGTGAGAGAGCACTTGCAATATTTGATGTCGGCACGTTGCTCGCAGGAGGATCTTCCGCAACAGGTGGGACGCAACTGACGAACGGCCCCCCAGTAACACAGACGGGAGATTGAACCGCCACGCCAGTTGGATAAGAAACACTATAGTATGGCAAATAGGCCCTCGGTGGTAATTCGAGCTGAACCGTTTCCTTTATTTGTTCTTTCCTACTGATCCAGCGTAACACGGGACCGGTAGTCGACTGACGTACCACACGAGCACGAGCACGCTTCTCTTCTTCAAGCCGGAGGTAATTCCGATGTTCGAGAATATTTCCTTCTTCCGTATCCAGTGCTCGTGCAATGAGTTCGTCTTGAGTGGGCATGCTCGTGGTAATCTTTTGCTTCTTTGGCAAGGCAGCCTGACCAGGTATTGAGTCCAATCGTCCCCGGTAACAAAAACGGTGTGTACCTTCTTCTCTTCAGCATCTTTGATGCGACTTGCGGTCGCCGTGGTACTCAAAACCGTATGTCGCCTTTGGCTCTGTCTCTTGGCGCCTGTCCTGCCTGACGTGGTGCCCTCGATGACTTTCGTCGTCTCCGCATTGACGACTGGTTCTAGCAATATACGGCGTCTCGATTTTTGTGTTGAAGACCGGGAAACGGAGACTGCGGCCTCGGGGTTGAATGTAGCACGTTGGCGGGCATGAGCCAATGCTGTTGCTTTCTCGACCCTTGTTCGAGCAGCCTTTGATGTAGTGAGCATTGATATGTGATAATGAAAGAGAGATGGAATTGCCTGGCACTCGCGTCTGTCTGCCTCAAGTACTTCCTTGTCTCCAGTGTGGTCCTCCTGGGCAGCTTCTTCATCGGTACTCATAAAATCCGACTCAAATACGTCCTCCTCCTCTATGGATTATACAATGAAGTTCACAGGTGTCGAACCTATTCATGTGCATACCTTTATCATTGATGAAATCGGTGTCCTCTTCTACATCTGCAGCTTCCTCGATTGCGAGTTCTGCCAGCGCGAGTTCCATCCTGGATGTTGTGAGATCGGAGGACGGGTGGGGTGAAAAACATTACCTGTTGCCAGCGGTGCTCCGCTTTGGTCTGCGGGAACTGAGATTTTCTTCCGCCATGACTTGCCAAGTGGACTATTAGGCCCGCTCAAAGTTGAGCAGTGTTCGCACCGAGCGACGCACCAGACGCACCGCATGGGCCACACCGCGACCTGGAATCCCTTTCTGGCTAAATATGGTAACTTATGTAAACGTGTGTACTAATATAGGGCTGTGAAGGAGCCTGGGGTGAACGGCGCCTCAAAGTTTGCATTGCCGTCCTCTTGCATAAGGTGCTTCCTCCTGTGGCGTCCAGGGGCGCCCGGAGGGCTGTGTATGTTACATTAACATCATTTTGGTCACCTTGGTGTCCAATGTTGATCTCAACTTCCATCGGCCATGTCCGACGGTTTTAGCCTCTGCTGCTGGGTACGAGGTACCTCCGTCGCTGCCACCTTCATTATCACGATTTCACGGACTGCAACCGTCTATACCCTCAGAGATCTTATAAAGGAATCCGCGTCGCTTGAAGTGCCTGCTCCAGCTCTCCAGCTGTTCAAGCTCAAGAATCCCCTGCGAAGACCCTATAAGGAGACTCTCAATGGTGTCACCCTCTCGACGCACGGGGAACTCTTGGATCCTTCGGATGAGATATCAGAGGTGTTCACAGCACCACTACCAACGTGCCACATCCATATCATAGTGGGTAAGGCGCAGTTGCGACCCAAGCTTTCGTGGCCACTCATACCTGCTTTGCAGATGCACCATACCCGGAGATTTACTACTGGTTTCGAGGCGCAGATGCATCGGAAGAGCGAATGGTTCGGATCTGTTCGGATGCAAGTGTCACTGTGCTCAAACAGCAAATCCAAGACAGTCACAGTGATCTCCATGATTTTCCCGATTCTTCCATCAGGCTGTTCGTGATCTCGGAGGGTCATCTCCTGGAGAGTCTCAACACGAACAATGACGGTACGCTTCTCAACGGAAGGCAGAAGATATCCGCATGTTTCGAGGGTACTACAGTTCTCGAGACTTTCTGTGTTATTGTCCAGTTTCCATGCCAAGATGTCATTGCTCTCAATTACTGGATAATAGGTGAAGACATCCACACCATCTTGGAGGTTAAGGTTGCTAGGACGCAGACGGCTGGTGATCTCAAGCGATTGATCAAAGCAGAAAACGCAGTTACCCTTCACGACACAGACGTGCGCCTGTTAACGCTTTGGAACGTTTCCCTACCGTGCGACGATGCGCTTAAGCAAACAATCGAGGGTCTTGACCTCCGTCCCGAGAGATCATTGCACAGTATGAAGAGATTGTCCACGATCTTTGCAGAACCCCCTGTTCCCGAGCATCTTCATATCATTGTCGGATTACCACATGCCGGTGAGCTGTCCATCATGATCGCATCATAGCTCTGTCTAATCGTATATCCATGCATAGAGCAGGGGCCCCCTTTGCATCCGCAACGCCTCGTGGCGGCACAGTGAGGTGCTTTCCTTGCCCAAGTTAAGCCAAAGGCCATGTCGTCCATTTCGCGACCTTCTGAATTTTCTAAGTTCCAAGCGATCGATGGTCAGACTATTTACTGCAACCGCCCTGCCGATGCTGTGGCCATCATACCTCCGACGTTGCTTCACCATGCATTTGGTGACTTCCTTCATGACTGTGATGTGGTTGAACCGACCTCCGAAGATAATTCTTTAGTGATGAAGCTGCACACTGTGATGTCAAACTATTATGATGATGAACGGCAGTGCGCTGTTCAACTCCGTGAGCTGTTTAAAGGGTGGGGCTTGACTTTCGTGCCCTCCGCGACGCATCACGGCTACATGACGGATGGGGATATGCGCGAGGGAGAGTATCGCTATGCTATCGCCGAAATCAAAAATGAAGTCGGTAGCACGCAAGCTGATCCCTATAACCAAGCGACTTTCTACTACATGGAATTTTCGAGACAGTACGCGGAAACGATGGCGTTGTCACCTTTACCTTGCTTCATCATTCTTCTTTTTGGTCTGTTCAATTTGTTCCTGTTCACTATGCACCATGAATAACCGTATTTTTCAATCAGGACCGTTAATTATGTTTGCAGGAGCAGTGTGGAACGTTCTCCCGGTTATCCAACCTCTCTCGTTCGTTCTCCCACTCCACTACCATCCAACAGATACCTATATGCGGACCAAAGTGGCTCGTCACCTTAAAGCGTTTAAGAATGCTGTTGTCACGCTTAAAGGGTATTATCAAAGTCTCTCACTGAATAATAACCCATCCAGCTCGCACCATTTGCAACTGTTCCCGTATCCCACCTCTTTCAAGCCTCTCGGAAGTAACGCTAACGCAACGAAAGAATTCGAATACACATCACAGTACCCAAACAAGCTTATCTTTTTTGGTACTCTTGCTGGCGAGCGCATTTGTATCAAATTTGCGCGTCATTATTCGATGGAGGTTCACCAGTTCTCCGCTTCACGGGGACGGGCACCAGCGCTCCGTGGCTTCGACGCGCTACATGGGGGATGGTACATGGTGGTGATGGATGCACTGGACGGTTACAAGGATCTCTGTGATGTCGACCCACCTCCTTTGGTTTTCGAACGGATCAGTACCCACCTTAAGGAGTTTTAATAACATGCTTTCCGGACCCTGCCCCAGGGTCCGAGCGTGCCAGAGTGCACAGAGTGCGCAGCGAGTGTGTAGACCAAGTGCACAGAGTGCATAGGGAGTGCATAGACCAAGTGCACAGAGTGTGCAGAGTGTGTAGGGAGTGCATAGACCAAGTGCACAGAGTGTGCAGAGTGCATAGGGAGTGCATAGACCAAGTGCACAGAGTGCATAGGGAGTGCATAGACTGAGTGTGCAGAGTGTGCAGAGTGCATAGGGAGTGCATAGACTGAGTGTGCAGAGTGTGTAGGGAGTGCATAGACCAAGTGCACAGTGAGTGTGTAGACTGAGTGTGCAGAGTGTGCAGAGTGCACAGTGAGTGCATAGACCGAGTGTGCAGAGTGCGTAGGGAGTGCATAGACCAAGTGCACAGCGAGTGTGTAGACCAAGTGTGCAGAGTGCATAGGGAGTGTGTAGACTGAGTGCGCAGAGTGCATAGGGAGTGCATAGACTGAGTGTGCAGAGTGCACAGTGAGTGCATAGACCAAGTGTGCAGAGTGCATAGGGAGTGCATAGACCAAGTGTGCAGTGAGTGTGTAGAGTGCACAGAGTGTGTAGACTGAGTGCATAGAGTGTGCAGAGTGCATAGACTGAGTGGTAGACCATTAGGAATGCAACCTACACAGCCACTGAATGGAAGCTCACAGCCACAGAGGGCAAGCACCATATAAGGAAATGGACAGGCACCAGAGAGTTGGTGAAGGGAAGCAACACAGCCACCAAGAGTCAAAAAAATAAGCAACTGGTGTGAGTCAAAGTGAGGTTCAGTGGTGAAAACCAACCAAAACCAACACAAAAGACAATGAAAGTGAGTGGTGGTGTGCCTATGTGGTACCTAGATGGTAGAACCTGTTCTTTGGGAGGGTTTTTGCGAGCTACAACACTCAAAGATGAGTGCTGAGGGTTGGGGGTGCTCCTGATGAAGAGGGAGCAAGAATGTGATAGAAAGTGATAGGGTAGACTGCTGTCAGCCCACAGAAGGATGGATGGTGACTTAATTCAATGTCCTAAGCTGTACTGAGCTCAGGGAGGGCTTGGAGCAAAGTATATGGATGATAGATGATGATAAGCAAAGTAGATGATAGCTAGACCCTTAATAAAGTCTCAACTATTGAAGCTGATGAATGATTTACTGAGAGATGATAAATTGTGAGCAAGAGGGGCTCTCTCTGATGTCTTCTTTTTTTTTTTGCTACCTAAGTACAGTGACTTATATACAGTACAGGGGCGTTGCCTATGGAAAACAAGGTGCAAACACTTGGTAAGTGATTGGTAACTGATGAGTAAGGAATGTAAGCAATGGGTAATCATCTTGGAAAGCATTGGTAAGCATTGGTAAGGATAAGTAAGCCAAAAAGCGAAGAATCAGTAAGCAAAGTCAAAAGATTGGTAAGTATTGGCAATAGGTGAGTCAAAGACAGTCAGAATGTCACAGTATGAGTCAAGCAATGTCAGGAACTGGGAAAGTGCACTGGAATCACATTAGGGGGAGGCCATGCATGTCACATCTTGAAGAGATCACTTCTAGGCCAAAGTGGGATGACAGAGAGGCAGTGCTGATCTGATGCCGATATAGTACATCCAAAAGCGGACAGGGTGAGTCAGATGTCAACAGGGGTCAAGCTTTGGGGGTCTGTGGGGTGACAGGAGCATAGGGGATTGCAACTTTCCCCCCCAAACCATCCTCTCAGTGAAGCAAATAAAACTTCATGAATGAGGCTCTGTTGGAAGAGAGGATGAAGGGGGAGCATCTTCTGCTGTATCTTGCAACAAGGAGGCGAGATGTGCATCATACTTGTCATGGATGCGATCAGGGAGAGTGGAGAACAGTAGATTATACTGTAGCTGTTGCAATTTTGGAAGAATGATGGACGAGACTGGTATGAAGATGTTGCAGGGGGCAGGGAGGAAGGATCCATATGCTTCTTGGACCGGAGAGACTGAAATGACCACATAAGACCTTTCCAAGCGAATGACAGACCTGAGGTGACCAAAGAACATCCTCCTGGAGGTCATACTGACAAAAAGAACATGCTGTCCAAGCTGGATGGGCTGAGAGGGGGCAGATGAGGGTGGGATGTACCAGGATGCTTCAGGACAGAAGCTGGTAGGAACTCCTGGTAGATATATGTGGCCATGGTCCCTAGCAAAGGGGACAAGTGAAATGACTGATGTGGAGGCAGCCATATCAGAAGAATTAGCAAAATGAGCATCTTTTGGAGGGAGTGCTGTAGAAACATGTGGAGTGCGCAAATCCTTTCCAATCCTGGAAGGTAGGATCACGTGGCTGAGCACTACAAGTGAGTGTGGGAATGGTTTTGGTGTCTGCAGAATTGGTGGAGATATGTTGAAAACTGGAATGCTGTACATGGGCGCTTAAGAATTTTATTGGTGCTTAACTTGCCTCCTCCTTATTCTTTGGCATTGACAGCTTGTTCTTGTGCAAGGGATGACTGCTGACATTGCTGGCTGTCCTTCTTCACATGAGGGCTATGGTCTTCACCTCCATTCATCAGCTACATCCATGTCCACCTCACCAAACACCTTTGGTGTGTGACACTGGTTGCTTACCTGGACACAAGATGACTAGCAAGTAACTAGCAAAAAAAAGCAGAGTTAGCAATGAGCACTGACTACCAATGACCAACTACCAAATAGCAAAAACAAATAGGTGACCAGTTGCTTATTTGGATTGAAGATGAGTAGTGAGTTGATTAGCAAAGAAGTAGAGTACTGATGACCACCTACTGACTGAGTTGAATGATATGACTAGTGAAAAATAAGGGACTGGTTGCTTATCTGGATGCAAGATGACTAGGACATGATTAGCTGATTAGCAAAAAAGCAGACATAGTGATGAGGGATGACTGCCAATGACTGACTACTGACTACTGAATACCAAGTACTGACAGCAGACATAGACATGGTGAATTGTGTTGGTCATCTGGACTGGTGAGTGAGGAGGGACTACTACTGACTATGAAGATGGAGTGGATGGAAACTGAGGACAGATGACTGAAATGCAACTACAGACTAGAGACTGGCAACTGGATGACAAGAAAATAAGTGAGGGGTTGGTTATTTGGACTAGTGACTATGGACACATGAGAGGTGACAAGCAGCTACAGATGAGGGAAAGTAATGGTGAGTGAACTGGGATGATAACTGGGAAATATACAGCCCCTGGGGGAATTATAATTACAAGCTCCCGACCATAATTTGGGGGAAATAATGCTGGGAGTCAATAGATATGTCCATTGGGATGTCCCAGGTGAAATTTGAATGAAATTGGCAGTTGGAAAAAAAATCTACAGGGGGTAGAAGGATGGTCAGACCACAAAGTGGTATCTCTTTGGAAATACTTCTGGGAGGCTGGAAATCATTTCCATTGTCTTCAGTGGCATTGATAACACCCAGGACATCCATCCCTGGCAAGCTGGCACCCCCTCCTGATGTTACTGGATTGCCATCCCTGGGGTATGAGGAGGGGATCAGGTATGTCAATGAAACAAATATGGGGACCTTTGTAACACAATTCTGATGGTCTTGTAATGTCATACCCATGGGGTAGACATGATTCAGATAGCTAGATCAATCTCTGAAATTGTTTTGATGGAGTGAACATGGGGAGGGTGGGGTAACATATCTTACATGGATATTCTGACACCTAGAAATGCTGCAACCATTGTCATCATCCATTGTGGCTTTCAGGCCCTCCAGGACAACCATTCCTGACAAGCTTTCATGCTTCCTAAACATTACAGGATTAGCACCCCCAGGATAAGAGGAGGGGAATGACACATAGGGTCCTTTCTGATGTGATCCAAATGGTCCTGCCATGTCATTCAAGTGGCACAGACATGGTATGGACAGCTGGATTGATCTGGAATTGTTTTGATGGAGCAAAGCTGAAGAGGGGGGTTCACATTTGGGCCAGGTATCTGATCAGACTACACTAGGCAACACTGGGATTCAGTTCCATGGGAATGGGAACCACAATCTATATCAACATTGCATTCATCACTTTCTCCCTCTGTACCCATATCCTTGCCTTCCCCCTCCCCATCCCTCTGCTTCCCTCTATGAGGTGGCCTTGCCTCTTCTTGCTGGAGGCTTTCGAGCATTCTTTGCCTTTGATGACTTCTTAGTCTGTGCCTCTTTCAGCCTCTGCCTTTCTAAGATGAGGGCCTTGCTAGCCAGCAGTTCGTCATATCCAGCATGCTCCAGGAGCTCCATCTGCAGTGCATTCCTGGGCTTTACCACTCGAGATGCTCGTCTCCTGGCCTGTTGCTGTTCCTTCTTGGTGGAGATACCCTCGATCTTGTAGAACTTGGGATTTGTCACCAGAACCACCTTCTCACCCTCCACCCGCCATGTCTTCCCAGGACTCTTTTCACTCCCTTTGGTTGCATCAGGTAATGTCTGAAGGACAGAAAATATCCTGCCAAGGTGGTCCAGCACCTCAAACTCCTCCAGGGGTGTCCTG